GCCTGGGGCGCCGGGAGAAGTTTAAGGGCAACCTAGTGCCTAACGTTGCTTTCTGAAACCAGGAGAACCGCAAAGCGACTTTTCCTCGGGCGCGCTCCCCCTGCAGATGGCTGGGGTCGGCGGATATGTATATATATATATATATGTATACAGTTCTATACAATTATATGATCATATGATATATGAGACTATATGATATTGTATGCAAAAATAAAGACAAGTATATGTATATATGTATAATATATATATTTACACGCACATCACTTACACATCATATCATATATCATATATCATATATCATTTATCATATATCATATATCATATATCACATATCATATATCACATATTATTTATCATATAATATATATCACATATCATTTATTATATATCATATCACCCACACATCATGTATACATATATACACACATCTCCATATACATATATATATATAAACATACATACATACATATATATATATACATATATATATATACATATATATACATATATATATACATATATGTATACATAAATATATATATATATATAATGACATGTATATTTAAATAACAGAAACATATCCTGGACGGCGAAATTCTAGGCGATTGCAGCAGCCAGGAGACCGGCCACAGCTTCCTTGCGCGCTGCGCGGCTTCACCCTTGCTGTCAGCCGCGGAGGCCAGGCATCGCCAGAGGCAAAATCTCCCATATATTGATCGGGTTAATCTGACTTAATATATGAATAATTGGTTCATATATGAATAATATCAATATGTGGGTTAATATACAAATAATATCATCATCATCACACATATATATATATAATATACATACAATCGGGGGTAACTCCCATATATTGATGTTGATGATTCATAGGTTTTTTGTTTTGCTATCAAATATTACAATATATTGGAGCTTCCATTTGGGGATGTTTGGGAGCATTTTTTTCAAGTCATTGGTGTGTTTTTATCCCTTATGTCTACCGGGGATGCTAAATATGAAGCGGGGAAGGGATTATCGGTTTCTGCCACACCAATCACCAAGCAACCAAATGTTGGTGAAATTGGGACATGTTGGAATGTAGTACTGCCAATGAGGTAAATCATGGTAAATCCAATGCATAAACAACTATTATTTGGAGATGTTTGTAAAACCACTTATTTAGCCAATTTAATCTCCGGTAAAATCAGGGTTTATCATTGGGCTTATTATATTAATGGGGAATGAGACGACGATGATGATGGTGGTGATGATGATGATGACGATGATGACGACGACGACAATGACGATGACGATGACGATGACGACGATGATGACAATGACGATGACAATGAGGACGATGAGGACGATGACGATGACGATGACGATGATGTTGATGATGATGATGGTGATGATGATGATGACGATGATGACGATGACGACGATGATGACGGTGACGACGGGGACGACGACGACGACGACGACGAGGATGATGATGATGACGACGACGACGACGATGACGATGACGACGACGATGATGATGACAATGACAATGACGATGACGATGACGATGAGGACGATGGGGACGATGACGGTGACGATGGCGATGACGATGATGATGACAATGACAATGACGATGACGATGACGATGAGGACGATGGGGACGATGACGGTGACGATGGCGATGACGATGATGATGACAATGACGATGACGATGAGGACGATGAGGACGATGAGGACGATGACGATGATGATGACGATGATGTTGATGATGATGATGGTGGTGACGATGATGATGATGACGATGATGATGATGATGATGATGGGCAAACACTGGAAACTATGGGAACATAGCAGTGATATCAATCAACATTTATGGGAACATATGTTTAATATGTTATAGGTATGAAATGAGGACCTAACCATCAAACGTATGGAAACATCGTTGACAAATTGTTTGGCTGATGATTATGACCATTTAATTATGGGGATATACTGCCGTGACATACCAGTAGGGGGAGGGAGGGGGTGTGGGGGGGGTCCTGGGACCAGACTCATACTGTATGTCATTTACATAACATCAAAGATCAACCTGAAAGGATGCGATGTTTGGCTGGAATTAGTGAGCTAAAAACACTGGCTGAGATTTCACCTCCGCAAAACAGGATGTTTTTTTCATGTCCAAACATCAGGTTTTTTCCGTGACATTTCCCTGAAACAAGTTCTGGAGCTTGGAACTGGGTTCGGAAACAGTTGTTCGGACTAAGAAGGGTAGAGCAATCTGGAGCCAGCAAAGGGAACATTTAAGGCCTAACTGGTATCTGGAATGACAATATGCACCTTGAACCCCGAACCTTCAACCCCTTCACAGAATTCACAATACTTTGCCATTTGTGATTATTTATACATTAGTTACATTACGAGATATCTATATAGAAAATATATTGTATACACACTATTTATTATTCACTGCATTATTCCCATTTTGTGTCTCTACGGAAACTGTAAAGTTTGACCCCTGTGGATGGTAGAAACCCAAATCGGTTCACCCCTAAATTGGACAGAAAAAAACCGTGGGTTCCCTGCCTATTTTCACATCCCCAACTTGGAAATTTCTAGGGCCCCACCGATATTTGTTTGGTCACCCCTGGGATTTCTCCAGCACGTCCCTTGGATCATCCCAATCATAAACCAGCTTAAGGCTTAGATAAATTCCAATTTTTTATGCTTTTTGATCCTAATTTCTCATGATCTCTCGAAAATTGCCCATCGATGTGCCAAAAAACCACTTCGAGGCCGGGGGTGCTGGCCGGAAGTTGCCAAAGACATCGGAGCTGGAGAGATGCCTCGTTCCTTGAGCTTCACGGCCCCTGCGGGAAGGGTTGATGGATAGGCGAGCATCACAGCAATGACTAAGGGCGAACCATCTGAATGATGGGGACGCACCTTTGGAAGGGGGGTTGGCTGGTTGAATCTCCGTGAAATTACGATTTCAAGGGGGAACATAAATCCAATTAGGATGGAGCCAATACTAGCAGCTTCGCTGTTGAAACATATCTTCGTGCTTGGTCGTGTACCTTGTTTTTTTAGGGTGCTTATCCATGTGACGGCAGAGTCCCTGCAATACTTGAATCTTTTTCAAAAAGGGCAAACCACAAACTCCGAACCACCAGAGAAACCTGATACTTGGATGTGCATCTCAGTTAGTATATTAGTGGTTGATATGACTGGTTAGTAAGCCCATCAACTGGGGTTATCATACATATTTCCTCAGCCGTTCAGCTGGGATGCACATCCAAGAGGTAAAAAAAATAAGATGACATAATCTACCACTTTGTCTAGTAGGATACAGTAGGGTTGCAGTATGTTACAGTATCTTTTTGGATGCTATCATTGCTATATGCTTATCAACGCTCCAGTCGTCTCCATTTCATGAGCCGCAATCCCGGTCGGTCTGAGAAGAGCGCCAGACCACGACCAAAACCAACGTGGTAACACAGCAATAAACCACACCTCATTACTCAGTTCGCAAAATTGAGGAAATATCACCCTACACGAGCTATTCTGACATAGTTTCTGACATATCATCTGGAAATATATACGGCATATATATATATTTTTTTGGCATTCTATCTGACATTCTTTCTGGCAAAGACTCTGACATTTTATCTGACATTCTTTCTGGCATCTATTCTGACATTCTTTCTGGCATTCTATGTGGCATTTACTCTAACATTCGATTTGACAACAGATTCTATTTGAAAAATATTCTATCTAACATTATGATTTTTTTAATGCACATATTTTGACCTTCTTTCTGGCATCTATTCTGACATTCTATTTGAGATTCTTTGCGGCACATGTTCGAGTCTGTGCGTGCCCAGACTGCGCTGGAGCTCGCGATAGGTTCGGGTCCGTGCGTGCCCAGATCGATCTGGAGCTCGCAATAAGGCTCCCAGCACGCCCACAATCCAAACATCTGGTTTCTTTTGCCAGTCTGGTTGCTCCTGGCCCTCCTTCATAAGAGGTGGAAAATCAGCACTTGCAAGCGGCCACGCAGGGCTTTGCATATCGTTGCAACATATGTGTCTACGACATAATCGTTGCTTGGCTTTTCGGCGTTTGCCGAAGACGATTTGCGACGTCCTTTGGTCAATACACTATGTAGAACTGGATGGCTGTTTCAAAAACAGTTGTTTTACTGACTTATCAGATTTATCATTGGTGCTTGTTTCTTTTTCGAGGCGTTCCTGAACAAGACCCAGAATGGCTGCAGAGCCTGGAAGGGGAAGACCTGTGCCAGAAGCTCGAGAGGGGCCGAGGTTTTTGTATGTTTTTGTTTTCAGTCTGCCTGCAGCCTGAGAGCTTCCGATAGTGCGTACCCAGACTGAGCTGGAGCTCGCGATTTGGTGCCCGCAGTGATGACAAGCTGGCAGAAAGAGCAAGACGCGAGGAGCGTAGGAGGGCGAGTGAGTGCGGCACATTTTTGTTAAAACGTAAAGAGACCCTCACCTGGCAGGGGGGAAAAAAATTGGGTCTATGTACCGCGCTATAACCCCCAAACCTCCATGAACAACCGGAGTTTAACACAAAAAACATTGCAAGTGGATTGTACATGGCGCTACTACTTACCTGCAAGGTTGTGGTCCCCTAGGTAAAACTTGATTTATCGCCCCCGTCCAACGTGGCTAGGGACCTTGTAGACCTTCATTGGCCCTATTAAAATCGGTGACCCAAATTGTTAAACCCTTTCGTGTTTTTACTTATTGGGTGCTCTGAGAGTCAACGTAGCAATCACCAAAAAATCTCTGGTTTGACTATTTTGAATTTTGGGTTTTCACTTCGATGTACGCCATTAATATGGGATATTATTTCATCAATATGGGATTTCCCAGTAATTTGATTTGGCGGTTGTTGAAACCCATTAGTTATATATAGAAACACAGTTATACATAAATCAGCCCGTGTTTTCCTCAAGGCCACCAGCTCTGAACTCTTGGACGGCGTGCTGCGCAACATCCGCTGCGCACGCTGCCAGCAATGCCCTGAAGGTGCCCCAAGGGCCAGGGCCAATGGAGTCGTTGAAACCGGAAAAACGTGGGAATGAGGTTGAATTATCCAATATAAATATGGAAAACCTATGGTTTCCTAAGGAAAATGATTTGCAAATAAGGGTTTTCCATATCTATGTTAATTGAGTGGAGGGTAATTGTGATCTACACACACGCACACACACTGGATTTCATGATAACTTATTGGAATATCGTAAATATTGACCACAATGTTAACGCTTAAAAATTAAGTGTAGGAAATCAAATCATCCATCCTGGATAAACAGTTTGCCTCACATAGAATATGATTTACGGAAATCAATTAACCACTAGAGGGCAACAATTTTCTCGGAACAAACTGGTAATTGACAAGACTGAATCGACCCAGTGCATATCCGTACCTGAATGGATGACACTTCTTGATCTTTCAGACGTCAATCTGGAAGTATCTACCATTTTCGAATTGATGAAATTGGAGGCGGACGTCTGGCACGGTCGGTAGCCGGTGATGGTTGCTGCGAGAACAGCGGCTGTCCTTAAATCTTAAGCATTCCAAGTCCAACTGACGTTCTGGAATTGGCCTTTTTTAATCACTCCCCAAGCAAAAATTATGTTAGTGTTTATACAACTGCATGTTTTGATCGCACTGGTGTTTTATGATGGTTTGATTTCAAGAAATGGGTTGAATGGTACCAAACCAAGATTTTTTCCATGTTTGTTTGACCCCTGAGGCTGTGTGGTGGTCTTGCTACTTCAGGTGGGACCTGCGCCCCCAGCAATCCCTGAGGAAGCATTTACTGAATAGGATGAACATCTTGGTAGGAATGCGAGATTTTCGGAACCAAGCAGCTCAGAGGTATTGTTTGATGTTCAATGCTTGATGCAGTAACTATATAGGTTCCTTCTTTTGAACGCTGGTGCTGAACAGGTTTCCTGCCCTCAGCATAGACCCTTGAGCTATCCTTATTTTTAGCATTTTTTCGCCAGGCTTTAGCCTTTCCAGCCGACTTTGAAGAGGCTGGAAGTGGTGTGGGTCAGAGATAGGTCAACTTTGAAGACCCCTTGGGATCAAGAGCTTTTACATGGTTTCTATATAAGTTTCTATGTTTTTTTACAACTAAGTTTGGATCTTGAATTTCTCCACTTTGGTGTCGCATCCAAGTTTTTGGCGATGCAATTTCCACATTTTCCACATCTGTTTGTTGGCGAAATCATCCCATGTCTGTTGAGCCTTGGTGGGTTCAATCTCCATCCTTTCCTCGGTGTTGTGTGTTAGAATCCACAGTTTTACACCAGTTATATAATTGAAACATATTGAAACTCAACCCCAGTCAACCCCCAATTAACATCAATTAGCCTCAAACAGGGTAATTAACATATGTGGCGATATTTCCAATGCTTTCTTCACAAAACCCTGCATCTTATCTCATTTCTGTCCACCCAATCATCCCATTGACTTGCATTTTGTGGGTTTAAACTCCTTGAAATCCTAAGTGAATTATTACCCCTATCAGTGAATCGTTTTCACCCCAACGAACTGCCAATGAATCAACCCTCCCGAAACCCAGCTGAACTGTGGACCGCTTCGGTTGAAGGTCACCAGCTGCTCCTTCTCCCTGCTGTTCTACTTCCGCGCCTATCAGCTCTTCCAGGATCGAACGCCAAAGCACTTCTGTCACGGCCATGGTTTGCGATACCATCACCAACCCCAGTCAAGCGGTCGATTTCCGAAGTTTCTTGCCCATTGTGACATAACATATGCATGGACAAATAGTATGAGTCATGTGGTAAAGCTATAATATATTATCCCCCAAATCAGATTTTTTATGGGTGATATAAACCATCGCCAAGTGGTAGGTTTATGGCATTGGCTTTCCCACATTAGCCGCAGGATTTTGATCCACATTGGACGCGGGCGCTTCTAGAGAACCTGCCGGCCCTGGTGAATGCCCGGCGCGGCCAATGTGCTGCAGCCCGACGCCAGGAACTGCAGGTGTGGCAGCTTTTTTTGGGGTTTGGCTGGGTGGATCTCCATGGATTTGGAGAAACCTGGAGAAACCTAGAGAAACATCTTGGAAAACACATTGGATCAGAGGGTACCTACCAGAGAACTGGATGGTAGCACTTGAAGGTAGGCCTTCCCACTAACCAGCCAGGTAGGTGTCGCTACTGTGGATTCCTAACCATGGAACATGAAAGTCTTGCGATTTTTTACATCAATACGTGGCCGGATTCAACAGTTTTGCTCTTCTTTTTCACCCATGCCCAAATAGTGAAGTCTCCAGAGTTTCTCCTCAGTTCTTTGAACCACTTTCTTGAGTGGGGAACTCCAGACCTTCTCCAAGCGTTTATTATGGATTTTCTGAGCTGCAATTGTGGAGACTCCTTCAAAATCTCTCCTGCTTCTCTCCAAATCATGGGTGGCGATGAGCCAATGTTGTTTTGAGCCATGCTGAAACTGCTTGCAAAAAACTCAGAATTGCTAGTGCCCAACACATATTCTGGGAATCATTGCGGATCGATTGATTCTCGTGCAGATTAAACCCCCCCTGAGCGTTTTGTTGGTGAAGTCTAGTCCCAAGTTTCCTTGGTCGAATTGTCTATGGGTTTGTTGGCCAAATTCATGCCCGAAGGAGGTGCGTCTTCCACCGCAAGAGGCGAGGCTGTGGCAATGGTACTACGGTGGATGGCATCTAAACTGCATGTTTTGATACTTAGTTGCTGGATGGAGGTGGTGTAAACTATAAAAACCTACCTTTCCCATCATATTCTATATATTATGCAATGCTTGGTTGGGGTAGAAGTACAACGACTGGCAGATCGTACAGCCCCATTAGTTTTAAGCTGCTCAAGAAGGACGTATGTAGCGTTTCACCAGCACACAACATATTTAAGCGCTTACGCGCGACAGCCGGCCAGGGGCCCAACTATGTAGGCCCATTGTGTGGCTATGTTGGCCTATGTTGGCGTATGTTGGCCTATCTTGCGGGCAATGTGGGCCCATCTTGTGGCTATGTTGGCCCATGTTGGCCTCATGTTGACCCATGTTGAGCCAGAAGATCCGAAAAATGGGAACAGCAAAAAAAACACTGTAAAACGCAGGATATTTTGATGGTCGGCGGCCTATCTTGGGGCTATGTGGGCCCATCTTGGGGCTATGTTGGCCTAGCGTGAGGGCAATGTCGGCCCATGTTGGGGCTATGTTGGCCCATCTTGGGGCTATGTTGGCGCATCTTGGGGCTATGCTGGCCCATCTTGGGGCTATCTTGGCCCATCTTGGGGTTATGTTGGCCCATCTTGAGACCTATGTTGGCCCATCTTGAGGCCTGTGTTGGCCCATGTTGACCCATCTTGAGCCACAAGATCCGAAAAAGGGGAAAAAATGCGATGAGCACAAAACACTGTAAAACGCGGGTTTTTTTGGCGGTACGAGGTGGTCGGCGGCAGGGGGCGGCGGCCCCTCTCTCCTACGGAGAGGAGAGAAACGCCTTCGGCAATGCCACGGCCAGGGGGCCCCTGGCCGGATTGTTTTGGTTGATGCAAGATATGATATAATTGTTTAAGGGCTGCCGCCCCTGCCGCCGACCCCGGAAAAGAAAAAGAGGCGTTCATCCAGTGTGGTTCCCAAGATATAAGAATATAGCTGTGCTGAGGTGCTGATATTATCTGTAAGGTATTGGTCATTTTGTTGTGAAGAAGCGTTCTATCATGTTGCGCATGTCGGAATCGATCTATGTATCTTTCCAGCCCATCAAAAACAGCACGGCTCAAACCAGGCCTGAGTGCGAAAGATCGCCAGCACTGATTGTTGAAGTTGAAAGGTGACCACGGACAATTACACTGCACTCAGACTTACCAGGCGATTTTTTTGTCAAACTGTGATGTGCATAGAGGTCACCACATAGCATCACAAAGACCTAAGGTGTGGTGCATCATTTTTTTGCGCGCCACGCAAAAGTTATTTGTTTAGAGTTGTGAGAACGACATGCTGCAGATGTGACTTGCCCATGGTTATTTTGGCTACACTTTGTTGCAGACTTCGACCCAAGTGAGGGAGCCAAGCCGTGGATCAAGAGGAAATGGCAAAATGTGAAGAAAGATGGAAAATGGATGGCGATTGTATGGTTTCCATCAGGTATTGTGGAAAAACGGTATGTGGGGGGTGCAACATGCAAGTTTTTGTAGTGAAGTGAGTCCATCTGGACCTGTTTTTGAATTTTCGAGGCTGGTTCAAGGAACAGGACGAGCCTGGAAAACGTTGTAGCCATGGAGGTATACGGTTGGAGCGCCAAGAGATATATGGCGCACCGGTCCCTGAGACGGCAGCTTTTTCTGAAGAATTGCTCCTGGGAAGACTTGGAAGCTGGAGAGTACTGTGGGACGGGGAAGGGAAAAGTGTGGAGCATTCCGACGTAAAGATCTTGCAGCCAAAAGGAGCAAAGGAGTTGCAGCTTGGCAGTCTCATTGGATCCAACCCTGTGCTTGTTCGATGAACATTGCGGATGTAATGGGATATCAGTGGTGACAAAAGGGGAAGTGTGTTAACCAAGTAGTATCAAACGGAGTCAAAGTTGGATGAGATGGACACAGAGTAGAATATGCGGATGTGTCTGGAATCACAGAAACGAATGTAGGAACATAGTGCTATACACAAGCGAAGCAGCATATGTATAGATGTGTGGGTAGGCTAAGGAGCAAGCGCATGGATCTTGCAGCCAAAAAGGGGCAAAGGAGTCGCAGCGACATACGGATGGTGTCTTTTTGTTTAAACAACATCTATGGAGGATTTTCCAGCAAGGCATGTTTGATTACCTCCGTACATCCATTTTTGGACAAACCCATCACCACAGGCCTTTGCTCCCAGCTATTGTGGGAGAGGGCTATGATGTGGGTCCTGGAGAGAGGCACGGCCGTGGTGGGTCCCAGGTTCAAATCGCAATGGCAATTGTTGTAGCCCATAGCAATGATGTTTTCCATAGAAGTAAGGGATACTCGGTTGCAATAAGTCCTTTTCTTTTTTATCAATCAATTTGCATCCTTTTGACGATGCAATGCACGTGAGCTGCCTTGGCTTTTTAGGAATATCTGCAGTTACGTCAACCTATGCTCAGTAGTGCAGTCATATTTGTCAATGGAGGTATGATGGTGCGTCTACAGGAAATCTGCCAACCTATTTTGTCACCTGGAAACAGATAGGTGGGATCTAAGCGCCACTGAAACTCTGGCAGGCACTATGGCTCCAACTCCGGCCAGCATGGTATGGCTGGCAAGGAGCCCTTGCTGCCCATACTGCCGCTGTCAAGCTTCAAACAGTGCGGCCATGGAAGACGCCAGGAGATCGTTCACCACAAGGAACTTCAAGGCTGACGCGGTGCCAGGCAGGTTGGACATCACTGACAACGAATACAGAGTATTATCGAATTGAACATATAAGTATATCTAGTTATATAAAGCTACTTGAATAGACATCTTTTTGCTGGCCTGAGACGCCTACCGGAATAGGTCCCCAAACCTTCTTTTTGGGGACCTATCCATCGCCCTCCAAGTGCGATCCCAAGATATCTCAAGACTATTCAAGCACCATAGATCACGGCAGAGTCCGAATTTCGTCCCATAACATCACTGTAAAACCACCATTGTTCCACCATATTCCATCATATTCCCTATGCCATTGCTTTCCCAAAATCAACCCATGACCAGATGATTCTGGGTACCCACATGCAGGGCCGTGGGCGCCGCCTGGATGCTATCCGCTGCCTTCCTCGCAGTGTTGAGGTTCCACCTCCGGCATTTCAGGAGGGATGTGATGCGATATGTATGTAGGACATAGGCTGCTGGAATTTTAGCACAGGATCGGCATGCAAAGAAACGTCTACCCGCTTCAATGAACAACCCTGCCTATCTATAAGCTGATAGTCCATAGAATTTCAGCCCTCCCTGAAACCTGCACCATCCTACGCAAAATCTTGCCAAGTAGTGACCTGAATAGACACTTTTTGTACTGGCCCGAGACCGTTATCGGAATAGGTCCCCAAAGTTTTTCTCCGGGGACCTATCGACCGGGATGGCGTCAGACGTATAACTCCATCAATGAACCATGAGCACCACATTCTACTGTGTGCCGTTCAAGTACGATTTCAAGATAGTTCAAAACTAGTCAATCACCATAGATCCCGACAAATCTTCACTTTCTTCCCCTAACATCGCCGTAAAACTACCATTGTTCCATCATATTCCATCACATTCCCTATGCCATTGCTGTTCCAAAATCAACCCATGACTAGATCGTTCTGGGTACCCACATGCAGGGCCGTGGACGCCTCCTGGATGCTATCCGCTGCCCTTGGCGCAACGTTGAGGTTCCACCCCCGGAATGTCTGGAGGGATGTGATGGGATATGTAGGTAGGACATGGCTGATGAAAGCTTATCACAGGATCTGCCTATACAATAGACAATTTGAGCGAGGCATAGACAAATTACCATCCCTCTGGCGACTCCTTCTAAGCAAAAACCGTCACCAAATATCACTAGTTAGTGGGTTCAGTCCAGCCTAAAAATAGTCATCTCAACCAAAGATCCCAAGCTGGTTGAAACGTGTTGCAGCCAAGAAATCATCAGTCAGCAGTGTGATAGCAAGTAACCACTGACTATCAATGGCCCGATCCAGTCTTTGGAGCCCCTGCATCGTCGGCCAGAACGGTCACAGCTGTGTCTCTGTCCGGAGCTGAGAGCGGTGCAAGGGAAGAGGTCCCCAAAACTTGTTGTAAGGGACCAGAGCCACCAACAAGTGATAGCTAGTGATGCCTGTTTCTTGGGAAGATCTGCCAGAGGCCGTGGATGGAAAATGCGATTTCTGTCAAGTAGGAAACGGATGTGAAAAGCAAACGGCTAGGCGGGATTGTTCGCGGTGACGTTGCTTGCAGGTTGTGGTGGAAGTGTGGACACAGCCTAAATGCAAAGGAAATATGGCACTGTAGGCAGGGAGCGCAGCAGTTGGTCATTTGCGATTATGTGGGCTCGCAGCAAGAGGGGCCTGTACATGCGTCAATCGGCAATGATTCATCTCCAGAAGGTTGTGGCTAAAGCGCCGGCAGCTTTGCAAACTCCATGGACGAGAGGTGATCTTGCAAGCGTGTCTGTGTTTTTGAAAAAGGCTCCGGGTGGGGTGGCAGGGGTATATTCCGGGAAGATGGATTGTGCATTGGCAACACGGTGTTGTTCGATTGAAAAGGTAGGTAATTGACCGGAGAGCATGGTGTTACAGAAGAGATGTGTGCTTGAGCATGTTTGCCAGGAACTGGGATTCGACTTGCCTTTGAAGCAAGAGGGCAAGAAGGTCTTGGTGAACGTCGAAGAGAACACGGAGGAAATTCGCAAGGCCTTGGTGCAGTTTTTTGACCTGGAAGGCACGAGCGATGAGGCTGCAGCCGCTGGAAGCAATGAGCGCTTTTCGTTGCACTTGCAGCTGAAAGTCAGGAAGGACTTCAGCAAGGAGCACGGAAGGAAGGAGGTGATGCAGTTCCTGCAGGAGGAAGTAGCGAGACTTGGCTCACGTTCATGTTGTGGGTTAGCTTGTTGTTGGAGCTAGGATGTAGGAGTAGCAGGTTTGCTAAGAGGGTTGGTGCAAAAGCACTTTCCGCATTGCCTAGTGTGCTGGGATGTGGAGCTGAGGCAAGGCATCAGTGGCTTGGTGTTTCAGCGGACGATCCCCTTGCAAAGCGGCGGCGCGGTTCGATTTGACGTTGTAGTTGCTGATGAGAAGGCACCGAGCTCCTTGCGTGAAGCTGCAGGAAAGTACGGGGCTCTACGAGTCATTGGTGAGTTGCTTCTTGCAGTGGTTTGTGTAAGAAGTGAGGCAGAAGGTGACACGAGGTGCAAGCATGTGGTGGAAGTTAGTGGGTTGAGCGGGTGTGCTGGCAGCCGGAGACAACCTAGGTGAGGAAACGCACTCGGGAGAATTGCTCACGGGTGGTTCAATATGGTGATGCAGCGTCATTGCTGGCGAAGTTATGTCCACGCGGAGGACGTGCTGCAAAGCAGCGCCGGACAGTGGGGCGGTTGGCTGAAGTTCTGTGTGTGAGTTCCTTGGCTGGGGTGAGGGCGTGGTCAGAGGTGAATGCTGTGGTCGTCTCTCTGCCTTTTTTCTGTATGCCTGGTGAGCGGCCTGAGGCACGAGGATAGCCGCACAGCCGTTGGGCGCGGCCAGGGAGGAGCACGTGGTGTCAGAAGATGAGGGGATCGATGCAGACGCGGAGATGGCTCCTTGATTTGAGGCATTCTGTTTGAGAGAATGGTTTCTGCGTTTGCCACAGTGGCAGGAGCAGAGGTCTTGATGCGACTTGTTTTCGATATGTGTGCACTGTTCTGGTGTTCGGACGTTGCCAATGACTTCTCCGACCGCTACAAAGGCGGGGGGAGAGGTTCGCACGGGATCCGAAGAAAAAGCGGGTTCTGACACGACAAGGGTGGCAATTGTAGCAGTGGGAGTTTGAAGGGAACAATGGAAGTAGCAGAGGGGGTCAACCCGTCGGTGGAAGCACCTGTTGTTTGATAGGATCTTGGAGATGTTATGTAGCAGGTGGAGCAAGGACATATTCCCATTCAACCACATGACACTCGCAGTTAAACATCACTTCAAGGATTAGGATCATTTGGAGCTTGAGTCTGGCGGCCGAGGCCCGTGGCTGGAACGTAACATGGCCTGTAGCTTGAAGCTTGGGGATGCGGCTGTTGACGGAGAAGTGTCCGGAATGCGGGAACCGGTGTGAACGTCTGTCGAATGGGAACACCACTGAGAAATGTTGTAGAATCCCGTTTGTGTTGACACTGATAGTGGGAAATTTTTGGAAGTCATACAGTCCCCGGTTTCGCCATGATTGGTCATTATATGATCCATCTTGCAACCGTACCAGCATGCTTCGAGGACAGGTATGATGTGCCATTTCTGTGCATGATGATATTCTGCGTGAACAGGCAGCCAATAAGTATCGATTATCACAGACCGGATGGACCGAAAGGTGCTTAAGGTCTCCTCTTTTTCTCTCTCTTTCTCTGACTATCTACCTACCTATCTATCTTCTATGTATCTATCTATCTCTCTCTCTCTCTCTCTCTATCTCTCTCTCTATCTCTCTCTCTCTCATCTAACTGCCTACCTACCTACCTACCTACCTATCTATCTGTCTACCTGTCTATCTGTCTATCTGTCTATCTGTCTATTTGTCTATCTATGTATTTATCTATCTATCTGTCTGTCTGTCTGTCCGTCTGTCTACCTGTCTATCTGTGGTGCAGGGTCATTCATCTAAGGAGTATATATTTTTTTTAATGCTGGTTACGGGTTATTAAAGCACAAGTTGTTAATGATGTTTTTTTCAAGCACCATATCAACGATTATTTATCATGTCTTAATGATTAACAATGGTTGATAATGGTTTATTGGGGGTAGCCTCTGTTCCGGTTACTATGTCGAGTTCGACTAGTAATGGAGTTGACTGGTGTTATATGGGTGATTTCAGCCCAACAATGTTTGGAACTGATTGGTAGGACGGCAGGTTGAAGGTTGAACCCGAAAATCCTGACGGTCGATCATCATTTGACACGGTCAAATTGCTATAAACTGGGTGTATAGAGCCAATGTTGAGGCACCTCCTATCACCTTTAGTATCATCCAATTGGTATCCTGATGTGTTTGCATCTATGGGATGCTCCCCATTTTGCGGAAAAGGTCGAAGGCAGGCGATAAGCAACGGCAGCGCAGGGGATACGCAACGGCAACCCAGCCATTCCTTGCAGTTTTGCTTGAGGGGAACTGGGCACCAGCTTGGGATGATTCTCATAACCACAGTACAACCAAGAAGAACGAGGCCATATTAGTACCGACAATGATTTGGAGGGCATAATGCAACCAGCCATAGTACCTACCATACTCAATAATCATCGCAAATCACCAGCAATCCCTATTCTTATCTCATTTGATTTCAATTGCGCAGCTATGGCGCAGCTGCCCTAAATATCACATATCCCCGAACCATCCGGGTATACCCAGCCAAAACCAATATATATGGACCTAGAAGTGGAATGTGTTTGGACACTTCTATGGTGATTCTATTTGATTCAGGAACACACTAAATGTATATATATATATATGTTCATATTTGAGGGTGATGATATATATATATACATAATATACGGCTGGATATTTCAGGGTGATTATATACATGCTCATATTCGAGGATAATCATTCACTTATATACCCTTTGGCAAAGTAGCATAACCATAGACAATAAACATTTTGACTAGGTAAATCACCTATAAATGGGGTCTTTTCAATAGCTATGTTAAATTGCTAGAAGGTATATACGGAGGTTTCTGATGAATTGGGGGATCCCCAAGTTCACCATGGTTCACCATAGACATATATTTTGGGATCATTAGACACATGTATCATATATACTACACACATATATTTATATATACATATATATATACAGAAACATATACGTATATATACATATATACATATATACATATATATATATATACATATGTATATGTATATATATATATATACATATGTATATAAACATATGTATATATATATGCACATATATATATGTATATGGCATTATATAGACACATTACATGATATATATAATATTGTCCACTGAACTCCCTTTGATGGCTTCGGACTCCGCCAAAGCTGGAGTCCGAGATGCAATGTCTCAGGACGAGAAGCGACCTGGCAGAGGATCTATCGTCAACAAGCAGGAGATTAAGAAACCAATCTTGGGGGGTAGAATATGGGATTATTTACATATATATATATGTATATTATAGATTATATATATGTATATTATAGATTATATATGTGTATGTATATAATATACATATATATATGTGTATGTATATATATATATACACACATATATATGTATGTATGTATGTATGTGTGTAAAATACATGCATATCTTTATATACATAAATGTGAATTATTGCGTAGGCCACGAGAAGAGAAGGGTTTGTCCAGAAATGGTTGGGTATACCATAATTTTGACCTCCATAGAAAAAATGAGGAAAATGTAATGGGATTTGGAGCCACCAGTTCACCCTATGGCCAAATAAATAGTGGCCGTGCAGGAGTGGAAGCACACAAGTTGCAACCTGGGAGTCGCAGGTGCAAGAGGTGCCACATGATGTGCCTCGTTGTACCACTATCAAAAACATGGTGGGGGCGCCTCTAAGAGGCCGTGCGTTTTTGCACATGGATATATTTCTCTTCAATGATGTTTCAAGGTTTCGCCACAACGAGAGCGGTTTTTCACAGATATTTATATATTGTGGGTGTGTCAAAAGTCATGGAAGGGTATGGAAAAATGAAGGTCTCGGTGTGATTTCACTGGTTTTTGTGGGACGAAAGCTACATGTTGGAAAAGGCAGCTGTACGCTTTTTCTTCTCTTTGTTTCAGCCGCTTTTGCGGCAAAGGTCTCCTAGACATTTGTACATGTCGTTGTGGCAATTTCTTCGCCACAGAAAAACCCAGACACATTTCATGATGTCCGTCTAATAACAAAATAATAAATATATATATTATAACCATGTGCAGCGTATAATATATATATAACTTCAAGTCCATCATCAATTTCTGACATGATGTTAAACAAAATACTATATATTATAACCATATGCAGCGTATAATATATATAACTTGAAGTCCATCACCAACTTCTTACATGATGTTGAACAAAATACTATATATCATAACCATCTGCAGCGTAGCATATTTTTAACTTGAAGTCCATCATCAATTTCTGACATAATGTTGAACAAAATACTTGTATATCACAAACAACTACCTGGTAGGACACCTCTATACCCAAACCCGAACCCCACACCATCATCAATGTAACATCAACGTATTAAAACGTAACATCAACATATAATCAACATAACATCAACGTAGCAACGGGGCATGACCAAAGTAACATCAACGTATCAACAGTAGCCTCAACGGCTCCTCAACGTAGCATCACAGTATGATCAACGTAACATCAACGTAGCATCCACGTCGCATCACCTTGCACGCAAGAGATATGAACGTTATCCCACCCCACCCCACCCCACCCCACCCCACCCCAAAAACCTCAAAAACGCACGGCCTCTTAGAGGCGCCCATACCAAAAACATATAGGGAGGTAGATAGATAGAGGTAGAGATAGATGGAGGACATGTCCAGTTATGTATATATATATATTTTTATTTACACATATCTTGGTTATTGACCAGTGAAATCAAACTAATCCTTTGGCTGGATGAAATAAAATATCCTCAATGGAAACCCTGGACCATCCCACTGGGTAAAAACTGGGCTATGTCATGTGCCATGGAACTGTCGTGTAGACGCAACGGCGTATACATAGATACCCTAGCAATCCCTCCGTGTTTTTCGTGGATACTGTATTTAAGTGTATTGAAGGGCATCGTGAAATCCCTACAATACGAAGCATGCGCAGTTTAGCTGGTTGTATCCTCCTTTTTAGTTGCTTGCTGCATGGTTTTGTCGTTGGCGAACAGAAATGTTGAGGGTCAAACAAACCCTATTTGGCAAAGACGGAGATGAAACATCAACGATGTGTAGATTGGTTGATGATTAAGTCAGATTCTCCTTTTAAATCAACCTTCTATGGCAAACACGGAGGATTCTTCCATTCTGCGCATTCCTTGTCCAAACAAAAGCAACGGAAACATGGGCCAGTTGCGACCATTTTCCGTGAACAAGACACTTCTTTGGGTTTTGCCATTTCTCATCAAACAGCACCGTGATTTTCCATGTTGCCATGGTCATAGAACGGAATATGAAAATCATTTGAATATCATAAGTTCTTCTTTGCCATGGAACTAGAAAGGGTGTGAACCAGAAGAAATGTGGATAATTCTCTTACAATTCTGGTCAAAAAATATGGTCATATAAATGTAATTACCATTTCCAGATGTTTCGATACTTTTTTATGATTGCTACAGAACGGTTAGAAAAATTGCTGGGATTTTTGCACGGCCATGGTCACAGCAGCTGGTTTTTGGGCAGAGCGCTAATGATGGTGAGCCGGGGCTGGAGTTCATTGGACGCTTCAAAGGCGGAGATTTGCCATGAGAGTTCTGGAGTCAATTGTGAAGATCCTATGGTTTTGATGGTTTAATGGTTGGAACACCATATATATATACATATTACACATGCGTGCATCTATATTTTTTTAAATACATATTATCATCATTTATAATCATTAAGCAGCCCCAGTATCGATCCAAAGATCTGGAAGATAACGGGTACACAGAGGAAAATGGTGACTCAATATGACTGTTTATGGGAGGTTTATTCCACATCGAGCTATCGGTATAAGCTGTAGCACTGCCCTGTGTGCCCAACTTGTTTTTCCACCTCAGTGTGTATAGTAAGAGTGAACAAGATAGAACAACACTGTTTGAGTACCTTTATATCTTTTTGGGGGTTGCTGTAGGAATTTTTGGGGAGCTTCGTCAGCTTCCTGGATCCACTGGATTGTCAGGAGAACTTCGCGAGGACCTTCTCGCGCAGCAGCGAGAAAGGCCGCCTGGAAATGAAGAGAAGAATCGTTTGTTGAGTCCCAGAAAGCTTCAAATAAAGAAATGGATGGAGATAGAGATCTATAGAATCTATTGAATATATATATATATATATGCATAAATCCATATGGCCTTCTCAAAAGGGTACAACTATAGTATAATGGATGTCCCTTTAATTATAGGTGAGAAAATAGCCTCATCGCCGTACAGATCTGGCGATCGTAGCTGGGGGTCGACGAACCTGAGAGAGACGGGCGGCTGCTTCTTCATTGTGGCCATTTTCGGGTGAACCATGAAGCATGGTTCACACACATTTTGGGCCATTCTTATTTGGGGATATTTGGGGATTTCCCGATTTTTGGATATTGTTGGACATTTATTTTAGAGTACCACAAAAAGGGGTCAAAACGGTACACCTGGTCGGCGGCTTTTCCTGCACACTTCCGAGAGCACAGCAACGACCAGAAAACATAGAAAGATAACATGGTACGACGGGAATCGTGAGAAGTTCCTTTTCCATCTTGCTTTTGGCTGACTATGTATATATCAATTTGGTTGATAATATTCCTGGATACTTGTCATCGAACGTGATCCTATTTGTTAGGCCCATTTCATAGATGAGGAGATATCAACATTGACATGTGGATGTTGATATCCTAGTAGATGAAGCCATTTCAAATGGATAGACTATACATGACTATATATATATACTATGGGTAAACTATACCTTATGACTATATATATATATATGTATGAATGCATGATATATATATATATATGCATCCCACACTATGTCCTCAAATTGGACCACATAGATCGATGATTTTCCGCCAAACATGGGGTGACGTTTCGATCGACACGGTGGCGCCGCGGCGCCAGGACGGGATCCTCAGAAGAAGAATGAAAGCGTGGAGCTGCTGAAGAGGTGGCGCAGTCAAACCCCAGGGACTGGCGATTTACCTTTGGTAAATTAACCTAGACCCTGGCAGCTAGGGGTTGGAAGATTAGTTCCCAGTAAAACGAAGCTATTTTCAGGGTCTATGTTAATTTACCTGAGGGTATCTGGCATTGAACCATCATTTAACCATCATTTAACCGTTTCTGTGGGCTGGTTGCTATTTGAATTTGGGATATGGGATTTAACTATCATCATTTAGACATAGAGATCATAGCTCAGTATTTGATGCGGAAATAGGAGCCGTATTTCCATATCACCGGATTTGCGTTATAGAGTGTGTACAACTTATAACAAGGGTTATCAACCAGATACCCGTTCAGGGTTGATTCTCCCAGTATGCTGTAGCAGTGCCCCGTGTGCCCAACTCGTTTTTCCAGCTCAGTGTGTGATGCGGAAATAAGAGCCTTCTTTCCACATCACTGAACTTGCGTTATAGAGTGTGTACAACTTATAACAAAGGTTATCAAGCAGATACAAGTTCGTGACATAAAAGTAGTCTATATTAATGAAGGTTTTTAATCCGGAGGGGGGCCATGCGCCCGAAGCACGTCTGTGCCTCAAGCACTTACAGCTGCTACCTACTTTGTTGTGTGATGTTAGAGATGCCAGCTGGCAGTCTAAGAATGGATTGCATGGATAATAAGTCTCCCCGAAGGTCTGAATGGGAAAAGTATCGAAAAGTTGGTGGACCAAGGATGGACTTGTTTGAGGGACCCCAAACAGTGAATGAAATCATTTCTTTGGCCCCAAATCACACCCGGAATAGATCCACCGCGGAAAAAAAGTGGTCAACATGGAAGGACCTCCAAGTTTGAACTCGCTGCAATATGGTTAAACTTGTTCGTGGGTCAAGTTTGGATGCACGATGTAGTACTTTGCAGTCGGTGCATTGAAAGGGGGTATATGAAGGGATGTAGTTGTGCTGCCGTGGCATCTTGTGGGTGGCTAGGGAGCTGCTGGACTGAGGTCCGTTGAGGGAGCGGATTGGTGGCCACCTGTGCTGCCAATGGGACAGAGAGTTGGACAAAGATCGAAAAACATGCTAGGAAGCTGAAGGGGCATGGGCAGTGTGGGTGCAAGCGGAAGGAGAGAGAGGCAGAGCTAGCACAGCTAACGCCATGCATTATATGGAGGTTTCGTAAAATGGGGGTACTCCCCAATGGATGGTTTATAATGGAAAATCAATCTATAAATGGATGATTGGGGGGTACCCGTATTTTAGGAAACACCCATAGATAGATAGATAGATAGATAGATAGATATATATATATATACATATATACATACATACATGCTTAAAGCCAGGCTACTGCCCCCAGAATGCAGCCACAGCCTGTGGCAAGGGCGCCGCGGAGGTTTCGAAGGCAGGCTACTGCCTAACGTCGCTTTCTGAAGCCACTAGAAAAGTTCTTGGAAAGCGCCCAGAATGCCGCAAAAGCCTCCGGCAAAGGCGCCGCGAGGCAGTTAAAGCCAGGCTACTGCCCCCAGAATGCAGCCACAGCCTGTGGCAAGGCGCCGCGGAGGTTTCGAAGGCAGGCTACTGCCTAACGTCGCTTTCTGAAGCCACTATAAAAGTTCTTGGAAAGCGCCCAGAATGCCGCAAAAGCCTCCGGCAAAGGCGCCGCGAGGCAGTTGAAGCCAGGCTACTGCCCCCAGAATGCATCCGGCAAAGGCGCCGCGAGGCAGTTGAAGCCAGGCTACTGCCCCCAGAATGCAGCCACAGCCTGTGGCAAGGGCGCTGCGGAGGATTCGAAGGCAGGCTACTGCCTAACGTCGCTTTCTGAAGCCACTAGAAAAGTTCTTGGAAAGCGCCCAGAATCCCCAGAATGCGGAAAGCGCCCAGAATGCCGCAAAAGCCTCCGGCAAAGGCGCCGCGAGGCAGTTGAAGCCAGGCTACTGCCCCCAGAATGCAGCCACAGCCTGTGGCAAGGGCGCCGCGGAGGTTTCGAAGGCAGGCTACTGCCTAACGTCGCTTTCTGAAGCCACTAGAAAAGTTCTTGGAAAGCGCCCAGAAGCCGCAAAAGCCTCCGGCCAAAGCGCCGCGAGGCAGTTGAAGCCAGGCTACGCCCCCAGAAGCCTCCGGCAAAGGCGCCGCGAGGCAGTTGAAGCCAGGCTACTGCCCCCAGAATGCAGCAATGCAGCACAGCCTGTGGCAAGGGCGCCGCGGAGGTTTCGAAGGCAGGCTAGTGCCTAACGTCGCTTTCTGAAGCCACTAGAAAAGTGCTTGGAAAGCGCCCAGAATGCCGCTAAAAGCCTCCGGCAAAGGCGCCGCGAGGCAGTTGAAGCCAGGCTACTGCCCCCAGAATGCAGCCACAGCCTGTGGCAAGGGCGCCGCGGAGGTTTCGAAGGCAGGCTAGTGCCTAACGTCGCTTTCTGAAGCCACTAGAAAAGTTCTTGGAAAGCGCCCAGAATGCCGCAAAAGCCTCCGGCAAAGGCGCCGCGAGGCAGTTGAAGCCAGGCTACTGCCCCCAGAATGCATCCGGCAAAGGCGCCGCGAGGCAGTTGAAGCCAGGCTACTGCCCCCAGAATGCAGCCACAGCCTGTGGCAAGGGCGCCGCGGAGGTTTCGAAGGCAGGCTAGTGCCTAACGTCGCTTTCTGAAGCCACTAGAAAAGTTCTTGGAAAGCGCCCAGAATGCCGCTAAAAGCCTCCGGCAAAGGCGCCGCGAGGCAGTTGAAGCCAGGCTACTGCCCCCAGAATGCAGCCACAGCCTGTGGCAAGGGCGCCGCGGAGGTTTCGAAGGCAGGCTACTGCCTAACGTCGCTTTCTGAAGCCACTAGAAAAGTTCTTGGAAAGCGCCCAGAATGCCGCAAAAGCCTCCGGCAAAGGCGCCGCGAGGCAGTTGAAGCCAGGCTACTGTACTGCCCCCAGAATGCATCCGGCAAAGGCGCCGCGAGGCAGTTGAAGCCAGGCTACTGCCCCCAGAATGCAGCCACAGCCTGTGGCAAGGGCGCCGCGGAGGATTCGAAGGCAGGCTACTGCCTAACGTCGCTTTCTGAAGCCACTAGAAAAGTTCTTGGAAAGCGCCCAGAATGCCGCTAAAAGCCTCCGGCAAAGGCGCCGCGAGGCAGTTGAAGCCAGGCTACTGCCCCCAGAATGCAGCCACAGCCTGTGGCAAGGGCGCCGCGGAGGTTTCGAAGGCAGGCTACTGCCTAACGTCGCTTTCTGAAGCCACTAGAAAAGTTCTTGGAAAGCGCCCAGCATGCCGCTAAAAACCTCCGGCAAAGGCGCCGCGAGGCAGTTGAAGCCAGGCTACTGCCCCCAGAATGCATCCGGCAAAGGCGCCGCGAGGCAGTTGCAGCCAGGCTGCTGCCCCCAGAATGCAGCCACAGCCTGTTGCAACCAAGCCACTTTTTCTCGGGCGCGCTCCCCCTGCAGATGGCTGGGGTCGGCGGATAATTCTATATATGATCATTAAAAACATTGCATATTCGCTATATGCCATTTGAATGGTCATTACTCATCGTAATTTTGGAGTCATGGAGGAATCACGCATGCATCATCATCGTCATCGTCATCGTCATCCCACCATTTTCATAGCAGTCCGGTTTCATAGTGAAAAACCTGCCATAATTTCGCATCTCCGAGCCGCGCCCTGTTGCAGGGGCCCATGGGGCTAGCAGAGCCGGTAGAGCTGCGCTGGACATCAACGCGGCCCACCGAGGCCGGATGGGTGTGGCCTCAGTCATGGGAGACTCCCAAAACCGAGGCTTTATGCATGTAATAAAACATGACACTCAACAAAAAAGGACCAACAACCATTCATATCATTCATATCATTCATATCATTCATATCATTCATATCATTCATATCATTCACATCATTCATATCATTCATATCATTCATATCATTCATATCCGTCTTGTGTAGTCCCCATTTAAGAGCGATCTTGGATCCAAATCGCTCCTTAATGCTGCCAACAGCTCCCAACATCTCCCAACCTCATTTATCATCTCACCTATCCCCAAGGTTCTGGCCGTAGCTGCACTTTCCCTCCAAGAAGTGGCGACATACATCAGGTAGTTCTGTGCGTTTCCAGAAAGCAGTTTCTCACGATAGCCGAAACAATGTAGAGGTCTTGGGCATGGCAATCTAAAAGGCGCTCATCACTCAGGCCAACCAACTCCCTTGGATTCTATTGACGCAGCCCCCGAAGGTGGCGGTGCTGTTGGCAGCTACAAGTTCTATGTTGCAGCGTTACCAGTGGCTATCCTGCATTGAGCTTTCGGAGAGGTGGATCAGTGCCTTTCACTGATTTTGTTCGTTGTGAAAATGAGCTTTAGAGTTTTTGGTAGTTCCATTCATGAGAAATCTCAGGGATTAAAATCAAGGTCTGGTGGAAATCAAGGTATGTTTTTTTGTCAAACTTCAGTCATGGCACTCACACCCATGTGATAGGTTGTAGGCAGTTGAAACGATACAGAGAAGATTAGCATGTCCTGTCTCTTGGTGCAAGGATGACACGCACAAATCTGTGCTTGCCCGTGGCCCAACAAGTGGCTCAAAAGCGACGAGTAAAATCTGAGGTGTGAGCACGTTGCCTGTTTTTCAGATGGCAGCGGGAGCTTTGGTGAATACCAGGGCATCCCATATGGCAATGCGGTGCCTGATGCTGTTTCTCTCGGTAGCAGCTGTTGGAATCCATGGACAAGAACGACAAGGCCCGCAAAGAAATTCGAAATCCATTTCTGAGTTTGTGAGGACTGATTTGGATGGACAGAAGGAACTGTCAGTTGGACTTAGAGGCGTTGCTATGTTGGTCTCATACAACATGTGCATGTGGCCGGGTGTCCATAGCCTATGGGATAGAAATGTGAAAGTGAATGCAAAACCTTGGATGGAACAGTTTGAGCCCAATACAGTTGTGTGTGAGTTTATGCACGCAGCAGATGACAAATGCGATGTCAACCTGGAAACCAGATATGACGCTTGGAGCCCAGAGCATGATGCTGATGCAATGAGTTTTCCATGTGACACAGCGGCAGTTGGTAATCAAGGACGCTGGACAGACGTTGGAAGCCATTTTCAGTGCAATTCTGGCAATCGCGACAGTGCAATTTTTCATGGTTGGCAAGTGCATAAAGATTTTATTTCTCATGAGTGTGGTAACCACTTCCATGGCAATTCTGGCAATTTCCATAACGTGAACAATCTTCAGAGCAGTGCTGGCAAGTTCTACTTTCAGTGCAGTTCTGGCTTGATCAACAACTATGACCTTTTTCAGAGCGGTTCTGGCAAGATCGACAGTTTGAGCCTATGGGGAGCAAGCACATTCTTAGCATTACAATCGATTTGCAGTGCGTGTGACATGAGCTTCTTTGGTATAACTGGTAGTGCTTTGCAATGCCAAGCATCTGAACTCAGTACTGGACCGTGCAGTGCAGAGAATTTCAATGGTCTTCAGGTTATGCAAAGCTTCAAGAGTTGTTCACAAGGAATTTTGACCATGGACGTGGGTGAGCATGCAGAGCTGGGTGAATTGGATTTCAACTGGACAAGGTTTACAACCATCGAGAACAAGTTCAATGTGGTGACAACATCAATGATCGGTTTGCAGTTCTTTCAGAACATAATCAGGCTGATGGCAGTTACATGGAGCATGGTACATGCAGCGGTTTGTTTCCTGGCAGGATGTACGGTGATGCAGCTGGCTGTTTTGGCCTCCACAGTGACTGCAATGGTATGTCTGGTTTGGTACCTACGTGCAGGCATGAGCCACTTGAGCTATGGCAAAAGGTTGCAATGTCGGTTGGATAGAACGAAAACCAGAAGACTGAGAATGAATACCCAGAGGCAACTTTTGGCTGTGATTTTCCTGTGTGGGATGAGCAGTGCCCATGCAATGGAAGGTCAAACCGAACAAGCTACTATGCAGGAGGCGTTCCTACAAAGGATGACCACGATGGCAGAGGCAGCTACAAGGGCGGCCATTGCGGCAGAAGAAGCCTTGAAGAAGGCCTCAGTTCCAGGTGGGGCCAGTAGCAGTACAAACGATGGACTGCAGGCTGCTTCACGTATCCTTAAGCCTCCTGACACTTTCAATGGAGAGGACATGATGATGTTTCAGCAGTGGAAGCACCAATTCACAAGCTGGCTTTGTTTTGGGGACAATCGCTATACTGATGCTTTGGATTTGCTGGAAAAGAAAGATGATGCACCTCTTTGGTCAACATACAACGCTGATGAGAGAGCTATGTCCCAGAAGCTCTATGCGGTTTTGACCTCATACCTAAGAGGACGTTGTGCACATCTTGTTCGAGCAGAAGCCCAGATGAAAGATGGTTTCAGATTTTGGTTTACCCTTAACAGGGAATTCATGCCAAGCACACGACAGAGGAGTTTGGCTCTGGCACAGGCGTTGGGATCCTATCCATGCTTCAACAAGGATCGATCAGTTTTGGAGTCAATTTTGAACTATGAACAACTGGTGCTTGAGTATGAGCAGGCAAGTGGAACCACATACCCCAAGGAATTGATGGCAGCTACCCTCATCAAGTGCTGTCAACCTCGACTTCGTGAGCAAATCCAGCTGTCTATCACAGATACAACAAGCTATGTGGATATCCGAGAAAAGATCACTTCATATGAGCGTGTATCAAAAGCTTGGACATCAGAACAGGTGCTGAAGCATGTGAATGACCAGCCCAACTATGCCTCTGGATCCAATGACGGCCCCATTCCCATGGAAGTTGACCGCATTGAAAAAGGCAAAGGCAAACAAAAGGGAAAACAGAAAGGCCGTGGGTCTTTTGGAGGTGAATGGGCTAGCAGCTGGGCATTTGGCCGAGGTCGTGGTCGTGGACGTGCCAACAAAGGCAAGGGCAAAGGAAAGACAAAAGGAAAGTCCAAAGGGAAGAAAGGCAATCAGAATCAGAAAGGAGGAGCCAAAGGAAAGAAAGGAGGAGGAAGAGGCAAAATAGCCTATGGACAGTGTTCAAACTGCTACGAGTTTGGTCATTGGAGCCGTGACTGTCCTCATATGGTGAACCAGGTCTCCAACAACAAGCAGGAACCAATTCCACCTTCTCCAGCTACCTCATCAACAGCGCCAGCAGCAAAGGCCAATCCAGGTGCTCTTTCAGTTTGGCGGTGCGCTCTCAAATCCTTCAAGCCCTACTTCCCCAACATCTCCAACATCTCCATGTTTGTCACAGGTGCGTATGGTTTTATTTCATGATCCCGAAAGCACATGGACAGAAGTTGTTGATGGTGAATGTGAAAATGAATGGGTGATCCTTGACAGTGGATCAGATGTCAGCCTTCTTCCAGCTCGTTATCAACCAGATAGCAATAGCAACTTTGGTTCAGGCTCTCTCCAAAATTGCCAGGGAGGAGCATTGCAAACGACTGGAACAAGACAAGCTGAGTTGATTGCGGTGACAACAGAAGGTGAAGAGGTATTGCTGCAACACGAGTTTATAGTAGGGAATGTCACGTCCTGTCTTGTGTCATTGGGACAGCTCTATCAGGGTGGATGGACAATCTTCAAAGATGAAACAAATGACAGCTTGAGTCTTCAATCTCCTGGGAATGAGATCAGGATACCAGTGGAGTACAGAAATCGCTCTTTTGCCATCAAAGCACAGGTGAGGCAGATTTCAGATGTTTCTGGAAGTACTTGCGTGGCAGCTGATGGCGATGCTGAGTTTGCAGTGCGTACAGTTGTTTATGTGGAAGATGAAATTGAAAATGCCCCGATGAATTCCTGGGAAATGACTTCAAGCGGCACACCATTCTTTCGAACAGTGACCACAGACTTCATCAACCCTGAAGGTGTCTGGCCCTTTTGGCCCTACAGAACGACATTGATCAGAAAACACCAGAAAGGTAGAGCTTGGACAGTGGTGGAGCTATCCAGAAAGTTCAAAGACATGAGAAATCCTTTTGGAATGATCGATCAATTTCTTCTGACGATTGGATTTGAAGATGAATGTGAAACCCTGACTCTACTTGGTGTTGAACCTCAATCTTTGTTGGATCTTGGACTGGTGGTAGTTGACGAGAGCGGTGATGTTGTATTTGGACAGGAAGAATTTGGTGTGACAGGTTTGCGTGATGAGATTCCTGAGTCCAAACCTTCGAGCTCTTCAAACCCAACGGTCTTACCGCCAGATGATGGAGGACGACAGATTGAATTGCCCGAAGTTGAACCTGGTGAAGAAATCCAAGCAGCTCCAGAAGTTGAACTTCAAGCAGAACAGGAAATGTTGGTTATCAATGATGACTTGGTGGTAACTCCCAGTTCCACCATACGGCTCTTGCGTGATGCTTGCAGGTGGCTTGGTATATCACAGTCTGCATCAAGGACAAGGATGTATGACAGATGCAAAAAGGCTGTTGAGTTGGCTTTGAAGAGAGAAGCTGTTCTTGCTGCACAAGAGCAATACAAGTCTTTGCAGTTGGATGCACAACCCATTTCTGTGCCTCCTCAGCCTAGTGACCGGGAAAGAGAACTCCATGATCTGACACACGTACCATTTCAACCTTGGTGCAAATACTGTGTGATGAGCAGATCGAAAGCCGACCATCACTCTCATGTTCCAGATCCTGCAGGTGAAGCGCAAAGGGAATTTCCAACAATTCAATGTGACTTTTTCTTCATGGAACCAGGAAAAGAAG